CGACTACAGTAGAGAATATAAATTGGGTTTTCCCCTGCTTTGGAGGTTTCTGGGGACATCAGCAGCTGGGAAGAAGGAAGATGTGTATTCTGGCCACACAGCGTCCTTATGTTAATCTTGCAGTCTTCTCTTCCGGAGAGCCCTCCTCAGAGATGCCTAGGGCGGGGTGCATGGCACCCGACCCGAGGGAGGACGGAGCCTTATACTGGGCAGGAGAGTGAAGTCAGATTGCTGCCCCAGTCCCAGTCCCTCAGCTACCTAGCTGGGACCCCTGGGCTAGGTGTATTGGCATCATCCTGCATACCCCACCTCTCCCCATGGACAGCACGGGGCCCCGGTCACCCGGGCCCGCTCCTTCCTCTGGGCTGGGCCCAGCTTCCTCCATGAGGACCTCCCCACCACTCACCCTTCCCACCCAAATCCTCAACTCCACTGGGCAGGCACTTCTTACGTTCTCCCGCGGTACGAGCTCACGCTGTCTTTAACAGTGGTCTTCAAAGCGAGGTGGTCTGATCAGTAGCATCAACGTCACCTGGGAATTTGCCAGCAATGCACATTCCCAGCCCTTGGAATCAGGGACTCGGGGCGGGGGGGGAGGGCAGCACTCTGTGTTTTAACAAGCCCTCCAGGTGATTCTGATGCACTCAAGCTGGAGAACCACGGGCACATCATGACTCTCAGGCTGTGAAACAGTTTCTGGCCTGTTAGTGGCAACCCAAAGGCAGCTGGGAAAGGCAGAAGTAAAATAAGGGCTTTCCTGGCCCCTCTGCACTTTAGCACAGACTAGGCGATAATCCTGCAAAGATGGAGACGTTGAGTCTGAGAAGAGCTGTGGGAACTCGGAACCACTGAGGGGCTGTCCAAGAGTTCCCAGTGTGGATTTGGGAGCTGAGGTTGAGGCAGGAGAAAGTATTTGTGAATAGCAAGAGTGGAACTAGAAGGCAAGGTTCCTGAACCCTCGGTAAGTGATCCATTCTTTTTTTCCAAATTGAAATATCTTTTAAAAAATAGTGATGGCATTTATACCTAATGCATGCACTTTTTACAAGAACATGGCCCTAAGGAATCCATCCTCATCATAAACATGTAAAGAAAGCCCTGGAGAGGGGTCTGAAGGTGGGGGTGATGTCTCATCTGTGATATGCTGTGGGGGCCAGGAGGACTTGCCTGTCCGTGTTCGGGGGGTTGAGGGGGGTCACTCACCCTGTCACCATCGTTGCTTCCACCACACCTGCCCAGTGGCCTCTCCAAATGAGACCAAAGGCAGGGGCAGTGGACCTTAACCTGACTTCTTTTTGTCTTCCAGAGCCCTGAGAACAGGACTGTCAGTGCTAACAGTTCTGTGCATGGCAGGCTGGCCCACCCCAACCCTTTGTTGGGCCCAGGACAAGAGTACCAATGGAGGCTCACCTCCCATGTGGCTACAAATTTAGAAGTATCAAATCAAGCTAAAAAACTTAGAGAAAATGTGTCCTGTCCTTCTACTTTGACTGATGAACCTTTATAAAGACGTGGTGGACTGGAATAGGAGACGCAGAGAGAACAGGTTTCCATCTCATAGCTTCCCTGCTTCTCTCCCCATCCAGGCTCCATCCCATACTTTGAGGACCTCATGCACAGAGCCTCTTCATCAAGCTCATTCTACACCTCCTGTGGACAGCACCCTCCTGATCACCTTTTGGAGGCAGGACCTGAAGAAGTCCAAACCTGGAAGCTGGCTCAAGGCTCTTTGGAATGAGAATTCCAAAAGCATGGTCTAAAAGATGGGTTATGGGCTTTGGGAGAACACAGTCCCTTTCCCTGTGACTCTTCCCACTGTGGGTGGACTGTGGTCAGAAGAGGGCTTCAGCAGAGGCCTCTGAAGGCTTGTTTCTCAAAATGTGGTCCCGGGACCAGTTGTGTGGGCCCCACCTGAGTGCTGGTTAGACCTGCAGCCTCACTCCACACGTCCTGAATCACGATCTGTTAACAAGATCCCTAGGAGATTCACGTGCACATCGAAGTTTAAAAAGCACTGCTCTAAAGCACAAAACCCAGGGCCAGGGTCCCTCTTGCCCCTGTCTGGGGGTACTAACAGTAGATATTAATAAGCGAGTGCTCGACAAATGCCAGCTATCGCCTAAAGCAGGCCTGGTAGTTACCAGCTGCGGATGCTGCCTGGCTCACAGTGATTTCATTTCCTCTTTCTGTGGGGCCTCAGTCGTCCGTTTCCGCTGATGGCCCTGACGCTTGCCTGAGCTGAGTGGTCCAGTAGAAGACACCTGGCCCACATTGGGCCAATCAGGTGATTCTCCCAGGAATTTGACACTTAAGCCCCCCAAACGAGCTCTCGGAGTAATAGTAATAGCAATAGTTATGCTGACCGTCTTTCCTGCACCTGGGATGTGCCAAGGGCGGTGCGGAGTGTTTTACATATAGTAGAATCCGATCTGCGCAACCACCTCACCAGGTGTGTACCGTCCAGCTCCTGTGTCAGATGCCGGGATGGGGCTCGGATGCTAGGTAACTCTCCCAAAGCTTCGAGCTGGGAGCGGCAGCCCTGGGAGAGCCGTATGACGCAGAGACCATGTGGACTATTTCTGAGGCCCAGGTCCCCGCCCAGCTTCATGGGATAGGGCAGACCACCCAGTTACAGGGCTGAGGGCTGTGGGAGTGAGACCCAGCTCTGTGAGAGGGCTGCAGGGATGGGGGGAGGGGGGCCTGGGGCAGCAGAGGAGGAGCAGGGGAAGGGGGGAGGCAGGGAACCTCCACCGCCCCAGCCAGAGCAGGGCCCGTGGACCAAGACCGGCCCGCTGCACCCTTCAGCAGAGGCCAGAGGACGGTAGGAGGTCTGACTTCCCTCCCCTTCCCTCCTCCAGTGAGTTCGCAGCCAACTTGCCAAAGCAAAGGTGTGGGCTGCTTATTTTGGAGACACAGGGCGGGGTGGGTGCAGAAGTTTGCCCCCTCCTCTGTATCTGGTCTCCAGAACTGCTGATCCCCAAGAAGGTATGGAGGCAACTGAGATGTGCCAGGGGCTGGTTCGGAGAGGAGTAGGGAGCTGGGGGCCTCACCGGCTGGAGGCCTGGGCTGGTCCCCGACTCTGGCTCTCAGGGAACAGGGCTCTGAGTGGAAACGGCCATTCTGGGCAGGGGAGTCGTGTGGGGCAGGGAAGCCTCTGACCACCTAAGTAGACAAATCAATCAGCAGCAAAAAGTTTCTGTCAGATTCCAAGCCTCAGCTTGGTACGGGGTTGTTTGGCTTTATTTAAAGATTTATTTAAAAAACCATCCAACATCTCTTATTAGCAGGAACAGAGGTGGCCCCGTGCTGTCCCCTGAAAATCCAACATCACAGAGCAGTTACACAGGTCACACTTTCAGTGGCTTATAGTTACTGGTGTCACCCTAGCCCAGGGTAGCCAAACACACACACTCTTCCTGCACAAATCTCCCTTAAAAAAATCAAACAATCATCAGGTCAGAGAATCACTCAGTCCCCTCAGTGAAGAGGGTACAAAGCTTGGCAGCGGAGGCCGCTCCCTCCGGCCCCTCGGGGCAGGCTGTAGGCCCCCAGCATGGTGACTAGGACTCCTCGGGATGGCAGGACTGTGGCCAGGATGCTGCCAGGGGCCTCCTTCGCGGCTGGGAGCTGGAAGGTATCCGCCCCCACGGATGGGGGCGAAGCACCAGGAACCAGCCTGTCATCGGCGTCCCCGAGGCCCCCGCAGATGGAGCCGCAAATAGCTCCAGACCCACGCGGCTCCCCGTCTGCTGAGAGGGTGGCTTGCTCCTGTTTCTTCTCTTTTTGCTTTTCTCGGGGAGCAAAATTCAGAGGCAGAGCTGGTAGTTCCGGAAGCTTTTCTGGCTCCCCAGACAACCGTGGCAAAAATGGGAGTAGCGAAGACCCTCTGACTCACGGGGGATGAAGGAGGGGCCCTTCCCGCCCCCCCCCCCCCCCCCCCCCCCCCCCCCCCCCCCCCCCCGCTGGTACAGGCCTGGGTGAGGAGACCTGCTCACACCCAGGCAGTGGGCCTCCCCACCGGGGCCTGTCCCCGGCCGGTGGCTCCTCAGAGGGCCACGTCCCGCTCCCGGCCTGGAGCTCTCTGGGCAGTCCTCAAGTCGGCGAGTCCCTTCAGCCTGGGGGCGACTGCTGTGCTAGATGTGCAGGGTGGCTGAGGATGGTGGGGGTCACATGGGGGTCGGGGAGGAGGAGAATCCGAGATGGAGACTCAGGAGAGGGGATGCTTACTGAGGAGCATTTCCTGTGTCTGAGGACCCCTTGAGGGTTGCACCCCTGTGGTCTTGGGCCGCGGCCTCCCTCCCCTCGCCAGCCCAGCACAGTCAGGCGTCCCGTGGTCTGGGCCAGGCCAAGCCACGGAAGACAAGGACAAAGGGCTGTCTGTGTCCAGCAGCGTCACTTCCTTGGCAGGCCTGACTGTGGCCTCATCTGGTGGGTGCCTCCCCGGACAGACCCCGCGTCCTAAGGAGGGAGGCCGGTAGAGGGAGGCTAGGGCCGGGGCTGCGCATTAGGGGGACCGCGCAGGGGACGGGCGCCCTGGGTAGCTCGGCAGGGCCAGGCGCGGCTCCCGCAGACAGGGCTGTGTGGGAAGCCGGGCTCGGCCTGTTTCCTTGGTAACGGGCCTTTTCCAATCCGGGGCCCCGCGGGGGGGGGGGGCGGCTGCCAGCCTGTGGGTGGGGGCGTGACTGGGCGGCCGGCCAGCGGCCGCCTCAGGTAGCTGAGAGACAGCTGGTGCCGGGGAGGCAGAGGCAGGCATCAGGCGGGAGCCCCGCTCACGTCCAACTCGACTCGAGCTGGGGGCCCTTTCCTTTCACGTTCAGCTTTATTCCGGTTTGAAGCAGCCGCAGCAACTTCTCCTCGGTGTCAGAATCGCGGCTCTGAGGAGCTCCGGGGTTTCTCACACCTCCTCTCCCCTCCCACGCGCCGAGGGGAAGAGCCTGTTTACAGAGGTTCGCGAGCAGGTTTCCACCGGCAGCGAGGGCCGCGCCTGCCCCGGGGCAGCTTCAGAGGGCGGGCTGGAGGAGGCCGGCCGGGAGGCCCAGCAGGAGCGCCGGCAGCAGCGGGGACAGCCCGGGGGCCGCTGAGGGAGCGGACACAGGCCGTCAGGGCGCCCGAGCGGCCGCCTGCACCGGCGGGCCTGGGGGCGGGGGGGTCCTGTGCCCTCGACTCCCCCAGGCTCCCTCTTTCTGCCCCATTACAACTCATCTTTCCCCGCGTTTCTTTCCATATTCATTCCTTTCAAAATGAGCCTTCACGTCTATGTATGCAGCTGCCTCACGCCCCTCGGGGCCGTTACTGTTACGGGCAGCGTTCGCGTCCTTTACCCAGGTCTGTCTGGGTTACACAGCCAGCTCTGCAGCCTTCCCGTTGGGACCACCCTCCCACCCGCCACCTCACCCTGATGGTCTGTAACCACCCAGAGCATCCCTCAGCTCGCTGGAGGATTGGGGGTGCAAGGCTGGGAGGGATGCCGGGCGGGGGTTGGGGGGAGACGTGGCAGGACCCCTGCGCTTCCTCTGTGAGGGGTGACCCTGCCCGCCCAGCAGGCCCTACCTGCGCCCGAGCACTGCTGAGACAGCATCCCTTCTAGAGCCGCCACGTAGTCGGGGCCCAGCCAGGCCCGGTACGTGGTTTTCTCCCCGACAGGCACCGCCCTGATCGTGGCATCCTTGAAAAGCAGGTCTTGGCCATGATAGTTGGAGGAGTCGAACATTTTGAAGCCATTCTTATTGTAGTCATCTCCAAACAGGTCCTGAAAGCACCCACCGCCACTCAGCTGCTGCTTGCTATTCGTGGCTTTTATACAGCGAACCAAAGAGCAAGGACTTCCAGGGCACCCAGGCCGACTTGACATCATAAGCCCAACAACTCATCGAGCTGTCGTCAAAGGGGATTTGGAGTAAAGCTGTGATGACAGCTACCACAGTAAGAAGGATCAAAGTGGCCACCAGTCTTTTGGGGGGCTCACAGATGCTCAAGGATCCAAGGATCCGAGGATCTGAGGACCCGAGGACAGGTCAGCCTTCTCTCCAGGAAAATGCCGCCTTGCCACAGGGTTCTTCCCCATGTCACTTTTGAGGGGAGAAGGGGAGATGGGAGAGAGGAAGGGAGATGGGGGGGTGGGGGGTGGTTGGGAACCGAGGGCCCTGTTGACAGACAGTCTGGGTTCCTTCTAGATGTATATGGAAAGTACAGCCAATGGGATTTGTGGAGGGGCTAGCTGTAGAACGCGAGAGAAAGACAGGAGTTCAAGATGACTCCCGAGGAAATGGGAAGTCTGCGGTTGCCATTCACAGCAGTAGGGGGTGGTCTGAGGGAAGCAGGGTAGGCCAGCTACGGGCTTGTTCGGGCCGAGGAGCCTGTTAGAAATCCTAGCTGAGGGCGCCTGGGTGGCTCAGTTGGTTAAGCGACTGCCTTCGGCTCAGGTCATGATCCTGGAGTCCCGGGATCGAGTCCCAGGATCGAGTCCCGCATCGGGCTCCCTGCATAGCAGGGAGTCTTGCTTCTCCCTTTGACTCTCCCCCATCTCATGCTCTCTTTCTCTCTCATTCTCTCTCTCCAATAAATAAAATCTTAAAAAAAAAAAAAAGAAATCCTAGTTGAAATGTTGTTCAAGATGGAAGGGTGGGATGAAGGCAGGGCTGATGATGAGTTTGGAAGCTGTCAATATATAGGTGGCTGTTAATGACATGGGGCTGGGGGATCAATAGGCGTGTAGGTGCAGGTGAAGAGGGTTTAGAATGGAGCCCTGGGGCAGTCCGTGGATACAAGCCAGGAGAAATGAGGAGGAGAGCCAGGCAGGTGTGGACCCGGGAGCCAAGGGGAGAAGCTCCTCCAGCAGGCGGGAGCTGTGGCCAGTGCTGCTAAAGGGTCAGGGACATGTGGGCTGAGAAACGGCCACTGGACTGAGCACCACGGGCCACTGTGATCTTGTTCAGGGCCCTGGTGGGAGCCTGTCTAGAGTGGAGAGACCAGAAGGAGAGGAATTGGTGACGTGAGTAGAGATGACTCTTTGAAGGAGTTTTACTCTAAGAGGGGTGGATTAGGGCTAAAATTGGATATGGAATCAAGAGGGGGCTCATCTGTTTTTTAAAGATGATAGAAACAACAGCAGGTTTCTGTGTTGGTGAGAACGGTCCGGCTGAGAAGGAAACATTAATAATGCAGGACACAGAAGGGATAGTTGGAGGAATGGTCTAAGTGAAAATCTCAGAACGTTCCCCCAGCCTTCCTCAGTTTGCTCCAGGTAGACTGAGGCACCCAGGGCCCTGGCTCACCTCGTTGCCCACCCCCCAGTGCCGAAGCCCCTGCCCTGGCTCACCTGGGCCTTGTCCAGCAGTCCATACACGGTGAAGATGTTGGTGTCCGGCCGGACCATGACGGCGTGGGATGGCATCTGTGCCAGATTGCAGGCTGCGAACTGGGACACCTCGGCCCGGGCCCCATTGGGACACAGCAGCTCATAGTCCTCTGACCTTAGCTCAGCAGCCCAAGGCTCAGAATTATGGCCTAAGGGGAGGGGGCAGAGGGACAGAGGAAGAGAGGCTGCTTTCCTCCTGGGTCCCCAAATCCTTGACCCGGGAGAGGTGGCCATGTCTGGCCAGCTTCCCAACTCCATTCCCCAATCGCTCTGCTAACACTGGTCGGAGCCTCCACGGGTGGGGGGCAGGGAGCACCTAGAACGGAGCACGCATTTTACAAGCACCTGCTCTAGCCTCAAGACAGTAACACCAAGTGAGTATGATCACCCCCATTTCACAGGGGGAAAAACTGAGACTCTTAATCACTCCCAGGCAAAGAGCCCCATCTATGTGTTCCAGGTCTTGGGCCTGAGGTGGGGTGGGCTTCTGAAGGTGGTGGGTGACGTCTTCCCCTAATGGTTAAAGTTTTCAAACCGGACAAGGTAGAACAACATCATGTGTTGATCTGTGAGAGGCAGTTTCAAAGGTACGGCTAGGGTGGGGCCCAGGAATCTGTGTTTTAAACCAGCAACCCACTGAGGCGGAAGCAGGGCGTTGGCCCAAGGGCTTCCTGAGAAACACTGCTCTTGGGAATCACATTAGTTTTGTGTCTTCAGGTATTCACTTAGTATCCACCCTCTTCCCATTTCCAAAAGGAATTCCAGGTGGGCCGCAAGTAGAGATAAAAATAAAGGGAAAGGAGCAGCCCTGGGAGGTGGGGGCCTTACTGCGGGTGAATCTTGAGAGGGCCCCTCCAGCACCGGCCCCTCCCCTAGCCCTATCACAGAGGGCTGGGGCCAGACAGGGCTCATTCCTCCTCCCCTTTGGAAGACATTATGCCTTTCTGCACTGAGCTTTTGGGAAGAATTTCTGAGTGGAGAAGACTGTGCCTCCAGCATTTGGGGTTTCAAAGCCCAAAGTAGAGGCAGGGTATAGAGAAAGAACAAACAATAGGTGTTGGAGGCAAAACGGAAGGAGGGAAGTGAGGCACGCTAAAGGGCCCTGCACCCTGAAAGGACGCAGGTGTGGGCTTAGGGGGGCCTGGGGCATAGAGTTTCGGGGCTCTTTTTCCCAGGTAGGGCCCAGGAAGGTGACTGTAGAGAAAAAGCCACCCATGTGATGTGAATGGGGGTGTGCCCTGCCTCACATGGCTTAGGAGCTGCACAGTGATTTCCCTGCACGAGGCATTGACCCCCCTCAGGACCAAAGCCCAGATGCCCACATGCACTGATGACCCTGCCACTCCCACCATGCACCTCCGTGCTACATAAATGCCCCAGAAGGAGTCTCTCCCAATTGACTGAGGTGGAGTTTTACCATTTTGGTGGAATGGAGATTTTGGTTTCTAGACCAGTAAAGACTGTCATGTGTCCTATGCACCTGGACATGTGGCCTGAGGTCTGTTCTTACTGAGAGGACCCTGGAGTCTCGGGGGGTCCCCCAGGGTCAGAGCCTTCTAGCCCCTGTCTTTCCCAGCTGCTGCTTCGCCCCAGTCCTAGCAACGCCCAGTGCCTGGACCATGTTGGAGATGGGGAAGAGTTCCCAGAGAATCTAGCCCCGCTCTGGCCCCAGCCCCCCTCACGTACCATTTGTGTTTTCGAAGACAGTTGTGTGCTTGACAAAGGCGACGTCCCCTGCATTCTCAGCCAGGCACCTGCCGCACGAGAGGCCAAGGCCAGTGTTGGCAGGAGGGCCCCAGCCTCTGCGCCGGCCCCAGGCCCCCCCGCTGGGCCACCGGAGTACCTGAAGGCGCCACTGTAGCCGTAGTACCTCTCCTGGCTATTGCCCACACACTTGTTCCGGCCCCGCTCGTCCCCCACACAGAGCGCGCACAGCGAGGGTGGGTAGTTCTTGGCATTGTTCACGGGCACGCAGCTAGCGCTGAAGAACTCGCTCACGGCTGGGGCGGGCGGGTGGGGCGGGCTGAGTCAAGGGGCCGGCGAGGGAAGAGCAGCAGGGGGAAGAGGGGAGGGCCGCCCCCCCACAGGTCTGCCCACTCTGCCTGGCCCTGCGGCTCAAGGCCACCCATCTGTCCACTGCCCACCCAGCTCAGGCACATCTCCTCCTGTGAGAATTGCAGGGATGAGGGGAGTACAGAGGCTGTCCTGATACAGGAGCCCCATGGACAACCTCTGGTTAATCGTCACCCAGCCTTCCCTTGGACTCCGTCAGGGATGGGGAACTCACTACCTCATAAGCTCTTCTGTTCCAGTCAGGGCAACTGCCCAGCTGTGTAGGAGTGGGAGCAGCTGACCCTAACACTCTCTGTGTGCTCGTGGAGGTGGGTAGAAAGAAATGTGGTTTTTTTCCTGAGGTACCAGACAGGACAGAGGTGTGTGCACAGTCAGCCCAGGATCTTGCCAGCTTCCTACTGCCTTCCTTTCATCATGACTGTGTGTGATTTAACACGTGGGGAGGGCCCTGGGTATGGCATATGGTGGCCGCTTGGTAAACGTGTCTTCTTCAGCACTTATACAGATGGCTGGCCACTTTCCATAAAGGTCCCCCGGATGCCCAGAGGCTGCTGGGATATGGGGACAGCCCCAAGACCGGATGGTGATCCAGCCAGCCCCACAGCCCACGCACTCCCCCTGCTCCTCATGCCCACTGGAGCCAGGTCCACTCTGGGTAAGTGGGTTAGGGGCACCATGGCGCCCTCCACAGAACAACCAGACAGACACCCCACAGACTGTTACAAGTATGGCTAAGAATATTTCCCAACCTTCCCAAGAGAATGGGGCACATCAAGGAGGAAGAGGAAATCTGCCTGGGCTGCTCTGTGGGACCCTGCTGGGGGAGGGCTCCCAGACCCTCAGACCCAGCAGACCCCCCAAAAAGAGTATGCACGTGTGTGTCCCCGCAGAGGGTGGTACCTGTGAGGACGTCACAGTCCTTGGGCCGGATGAAGCCCCTCTGCACCAGGGCGCCCACGGGGATGTCCCAGCCCGCGGGGCTGCGGAACCCGGAGTGGCAGGAGCGCCTGCCCCGCAGCTCGTCCAGGGTGAAGGCAGAGGAGCTGTTCCGCTTCACGACGGCCACCACAAAGTAGGAGTTGCTATTGTCCTCCGCTGTGGGGAGGGGACGCCAGTGAGGCCAGGCCAGGCAAGGGCCCGGGGCACGTCCCCTTGTGCCCTCAACCCATTCCCTCAGGCGGCTCCTGCCTCGGAGCTGTGGTCCCACCCCGAGCACCTCTCCCCGCTTAGTGTCAGGGCCCCGGCTGCACATCCAGCCGTGGGACCCCTGCTTGTCCCCCCCAAGGCTGAATTCTGTCTCCGCTTTGCAGAGTTCTGTCTCCCCCAACCTACCCCCCCTATCATTCCTCACCCAAAGGGATTTTTCTTTCCTTACACCCAGGTGGTACTTTTCTCGCTTCCTGGGAGAAAGGTGGGGGCACAGCTAAGGACTGCAGAAGCCTTTTTCAAAAGCCCAGGGATTTTTCACATGCAAGTGGAAGGACCTGAGGAGGACAGAGCACCAAGGTCCCAGCCCAGGCCACTGGAAGGGGGGTCCCCAGGGCCACCTTCTATGAGCCACAATGGGTAGGCGGGCAGGGCAGAGGAGGCCCTCCCGTTGACGGGGTGGCAAATAGCCTGTTTTTTGTACGACCTGGCTCAGAAGCATAAAACAGTTTTTGTATTTTTAAAGGGTTGTAAACAAAACAAAACAAAACAAAACTAACAAGGAATATGTGGTCTGCAAAGCCTAAAGTGTTTACTCTCTGACCTTTTACAGAAAGTTTGCCCACGCCTGCCAGACTTTTAATGACTCAACGGGAAAACTGAGGCCTGAGGCAGGAGGGCTTGCCTGTGACAGACAGCAACCCGCCCCGGTAGAGAGACCGTGATGGGGAGCTTCGGAAAAGGGCCCAGGGGGGAAACTGATACCAAGATGAAACTATCAGCTGCCTCCTAGCAGAGGCCAGGGTTTCAGCCCCCTCCCCCACTCACGGGCATAGTGCTCCCCCACTGCTGGGACCAGGCCGTATTCCTTTCCTGCCGCGTAGATGTCTTCGCCCTTCAGGGTCACGGCGTCGATTTGCCCAGCCTGAAGGGGGACAGAAAGGGCGACCGGGCAGGGGAGGGGTCGGGACCTGACAGAGGTGCCAGGGTTGGGTCTCTCGGGCTCTCTTCCCTGGGGGCCCCCTGCCGCACACCCCTGTGAGATGTGTGGGCCAGAGGGGGGTTTGGAGGACCAGAGGCAAGAAAGTTGCCGGCACGAATGCTCCATCCGGGGGGTCTGCTGCTCCTGTTGCCAGGCCCTGTTCTGAGCAGACCCGTGCACGACCCCTGCCCTCCCCGGGGACTGTGGCCCGCAGAGGCCTGGGCCACCGTGCTGTATCCCCCGCACCTGGCCATGGGCTGGTGCACGACACAAGAGCAATAGGTATTTGCTCAATGTGTGTGCGAATGTATGAACGAGCTAGGCCTCAAAAGCCAGCAGTTTTGTGGTTAAAGCTCTGCCCCAGGAGGCAGCAGGAGGGGCCCAGGGCCCTCTTCTTTCCACCCTCCTGAAGCGCCCCAGGTCTCCCCTGCTCCACCTCATCTTGTCCATTCTGAAGCCTCTGGACAGGTGCCCCTTGGACCCGAGCAGGGGTTCACTAATAATCAAGACACAGTAGTGTGACAAACCCCAGGGAAAGGGGGTGGGGAGGGGGGAGAGAGGGGACAGCAGGAAGGTGCCCCGCGCCGTTCAGGCCCAGGGGCATGAAGTTGTGATGCTGGAATAACAGGCAGGGATGTTGACTTTTGAGCCTGGAGCTTCCATCTCTGGGGGCCCTCTCTTCCCCCGACCCAGACCTCCTAGCCACTGTCGGGGCACGGCAGAACCCAGTCCAGCTGACACCCCGTTCCCTGGGCCCCTGTGGCTGGGAAGGAGATGGGGGTCAGAGCTCCACTGGACACCACCCCGAGAGCCTGAGAATTAAGCATCTCTGAGCCTTTTGCTGGGGTTCTCGAGGAACCCCCAAGTCCGCTCCTCTCCTGCCGGGCAGCCCCTTGGCCCTGTTTGAGTTTAGACAGAGAGAAGGCTCTTGCCTGTAGGGAGCTGAACGCTCCCTCCTGCATCTCTCCCTGTTCTGCAGCCCGTGGACCCAGCCACCCCACACAGGACGGCCTGCCCTCTACCTCCAGTCTCCCCTTCCTCCATTCCAGCTGAGCGCCCCCTCCCTCAGCACTACCTGTGGTCGGGGTCGGGCCAGCCTCCTTGGGCCCCTGGGGTGAGGGGCTCCCCCACGCTGAGCTGGGTGACTGTGGGCAGTTGCTTCTCCAGCCTCTCCCAGCTTCGGTTTCCTGACAGTGATCATGCCACCCCAGAGTGCTGCCGTGAAGATTAAGTGAAGGGTCCTCGGGAAGTCTTAGCACCGCGTGCGGCACACGGCGCGCACATGCTTGTGAGGCTGTCCTCCGTCGTGATCCTGGCCTCCTGTTATTCCTGCCCACTCTCCTCCTCTGGGCCTTTAAGTCAGTGTGGTTGCCTAGCTGGGGCAGTGTGGACACTCCTGAGGGGCAGTGGTCTGGCCTGCACTCGGGGATTGCCCTGATAAGGGCTCCTGACCTGAGGCCCCACCTACTCGCTCTTAAAAAAGAGGAGGGAGGGGGCGCCTGGGTGGTGCAGTCCGTTCAGGGTCCCACTCTTGGTTTCGGCTCAGGTCATGATCTCAGGGTGGTGAGCTCGAGCCCCATGTTGGGTTTAGCACAGAGTCTGCTTGAGATTCTCTCCCTCTGCCCCTCCCCCTGCTCGTTTGCTCTCTCTTTCTCTCTGAAATAAATAAATAAAGTCTTAAAAAAAGAAAACAAAAGGGGCGCCTGGGTGGCTCAGTCGTTAAGTGTCTGCCTTTGGCTCGGGTCATGGGATCGGCTCAGATCCTGGGATAGAGCCCCTCGTTGGGCTCCCTGCTCCGCGGGAAGCCTGCTTCTCCCTCTCCCACTCCCCCTGCTTGTGTTCCCCTCTCTCGCTGTGTCTCTCTCTGTCAAATAAATAAATAAAATCTTAAAAAAAAAGAAAGAAAAAAAAAAAACGAAAGAGGAGGGGGGAGTCCAGGAAGCCAGAGGCCGCTGGGACACCTGTGACCAGGGCAGCACCCTTGCCTGCAGGGCCCCGGGGCCACCTCCAAGCTCTGCCTCAGACTCCAGTCAGAGAGGCAAAGCGGGGCAGGGCCCTTAACTGCAGCTGGGGAGCAGCTTAGTGGACGCCAAAGCAACGTAACGGGCCATGACAAGCTTAGAAACAAAGACTAGGGTGGAATACAATGGACAGTGTCAGGGTACATTGTACTTAGTGAGGGTCAGTACTGTTTTGTTTCATGCCTCTCTACTGGAGGCCACAGGATGAGCAGTGCCCAGCCGGGCTGGTCTCCTGATGTTCCTTCTGCTCTCAGCTCACCCACTCAGCGAGGAAGGGTTCCTGGGTTCCCTGAAAGGAAAGAGCCCACCCCCCACCTCCAGCATTGTCCCCTGGGGTAGGGTGGCTGGTCCCTGCCGGTCCTTCCTCCTCCCTTTTCTCTGTGAGGTTGTCACAGGAGACTGCCTCCCCAGGTGGCCTCCTTCAGACCAGGTGGCACAGGGGGAGGGCTGGTAAGGACCGTCCCGGGCGCGGCCCCCACCTGGATCCATTCCATGCAGTGCTGGGGAGACTCGGCCGACACACACTGGATCTCTGGCTTGAGCCTCTGCCGGCTGAAGGCCACAGCCATGTCTCCACACTTCTGGATCTCGGGAGTGGACAGCACACACCAGCGTAGGTAGTGAGGTAGCCCTGCGTGTGTGTGAGCTTGTGGTCACCACCACACTCACCTGCTCAGGGGCTGGCCCCGCGCATGGCCTGTGGGCTGGGGTCATGGTAGTACCTCAGTAGGAAGAGCCTGGAGTCAGACCCAAGGGAAATTCTGGCTCTTTCCCTCATTAGCTATGAGGAGTAAGTTATTTAACCCTCTGATCCTGTTTCCTTTCACAGAAAGGGGATAACTGTGCCTCTTTCACGGGGCTGTGAGGGGGCTTGAGGCAGATCATGGCTGTCGTGTGTCTAACTGGGTGGCAGACCATCTCCCTGGCTGTAGGGGGCAGGAAGCAGGAAGCCCATTTGTAGACTACTACAATGGTCCAGCCAACAGACAACGCCTGAGCCAGGGCCTTGGCTGTGGGGTGGGGAGGAGGAGGTGTGAGGCACTGAGGAGAGAGCATGCGGGGGGACTTGATGACTTCCGTGTGGAGGGGCAAGGAGACTCTTCCCAAGACAGACCCTGATGGTCTGGGTCCCACCCCTTGGAGCAGATGGGGCATCCAGGGTACAGCAGGCCATGCAACTCTGGAACAGCTTCTTCCCTACATCCCCAGAGGCAGGAAGGTAGAAGTCATTGGTTCTCATGGAGGCCAAGGGCACAGCTCCTGGGGTGAGTGTCCTTTCCCAGCCGCCTCCCCAGAAAGCACTGCCATGCCTGTGCTCAGGCTGGGCCAGAGCCCGTGGGACGAGAGACAGGTGGACTTACGGTTGGCATCACAGAGGAGACCCTTCATGGCATGCAGGTACTCGCGGCCCAGCCAGGCCTCATAGGTCTGCGTGGCGATGGGCACCAGCTCGGAGGTGGAGTCTTTGAAGAGCAGGTTCTTTTGGCCGTAGGCCTCAGAGCTGAACATCTGGAAACTGCTGCTCTCATGGCTGAAGAGACGCTGTGTGTCAAGGGATGGGAGTGGGGGCTGGTGAGGTGCTGCCGGCAGGGAGGGCAGCACATCCCTTCCTCCCGGGCCAGCCAGCAGCTCCTTCTTCCTGCGCCCCCTGGCCAGGTGCCCACTCTGAGGACCAGGTGAGGCACCACCTCCCTCCGTCCTCCGTGCTCCCCCAGTGCACTCCGCCTTGTCACACTCACGGCCCAGGTGTGGAATGGGACTGAGGATGCGGGATGGGGCTGGCCGTGGTGGCACGGATGGGGCAAAGCTAGCTAGAGCCAGGCTGCCCAGTCAGAAATGTGTTGTTCTTGTGAATAGTGATGTCAGCACGACATTATCCACATTTAATTAATGGTGTACTTTGACGTTTGTTGGCTTTGTCATTCTGTTTATTTGCTCCTATACTCTGGTTTTACTTTTAAGAGCCACAGGCACGAGCAGCTTTCTCTGAGGGGTGCCTGCGTCCCTGGTCTGCCTCTCTGGCTGGCCCTCCTCGCTTCCTGAGGCCTGGGTCTCCCCTCTCTGGCTGCCAGCTCACACAGTTGGTCCCTCCTTCACACCAAGGTTGGACACCACAGAGACCTCCCCAGCTGTGGTCTGGCCCAGGGGAGGGTCTCTGAGTCCTGCCCCACTTGACCTGGCTGGCCCAGCCCCATGATGGCCCTAGCCCGAGCCCCTACCCTGGCGAGAGACAGGAAGGTTCGGTACCATCTGGGAAGCTGTATAGGGGTGGGGTGGGGGGGGGGCTGCCCTGAACTTACCTGGCCTTCATTGAGCAGCCGGAACATGAGGCCCCCGTCAGTGTCGGCCCGGACCACCACGGCGTGAGCAGGCACGCGGGCCAGGTGGCATCGCCTCCATTCGGTGACATCAGCCCGGCTGCCATCCCGGCATAGCAACTCAAAGTCCTGGGACAGCAGCGCCTGGCCCCAGGAGGGAAGAGTTTTCCCTGGGAAGATGGGAAGCCTGTGGTGAGCCAACTTCTGTCCTGGGAAGGGTATGGGAAGGGCCTCAGGAAGGCCCAGGAAAGGGAGCTGGGCAGAGGCTAGGGTGGAGAGGGCCCCAGACTTATGGTGAAAAGAAACTCTTCCAGGAGGTGAAGACCCAGAGCTGGGAATGACAAGGAGCTTGGGGACTGCATTCCACAAGACCAGGTGTCTCAAGAGACTCCCAAATTGACTTGGATTTCCGACCTCTCACCAGTTTCTATAAAGCACTTGGCTCGGAGGTATCTGACAATAATACAGCACATATAAACAGGACTGTTCATTAATGTTAAGAAGACTAAAAGAATCAGGGGAGCTCAGGGAGAGAGAAGTGTACCAGGGGGTCCCTGCTACCCTTGGGCGCTCAATTTGGCTCTGAGCAGTGGGCAGGGGCCACAGTGGGAACACAGCCGGACAGAATGGACCAAGAACAGTAACCCGAGAGGAAAGGGTAGCTCTCCAAAGCTTTGCCCACACATTAATCCAATATTACTCTATTCATGTTTTGGAATATTTCCTCCAAGTCGTTTTTTCTATTTTCTAACCATTTCTAACACAGTGAAGGACATACCTGATAGGCAATCTTGTATCCTACTACTTTTTTTTTTTTTAAGATTTTATTTATTTGACAGAGAGAGAGAGACACAGCGAGAGAGGGAATACAAGCAGGGGGAGTGGGAGAGGGAGAAGCAGGCTTCCCGTGGAGCTGGGAGCCCGATGTGGGGCTCGATCCCAGGACCCTGGGATCATGACCTGAGCCGAAGGCAGACACCCAACAACTGAGCCACCCAGGCGCCCCATCCTACTACTTTTTTTTTTAAAGATTTATTTATTTACTTGAGAGAGAGAGAGAGAGAAGGGGGAAGGGCAAAGGGAGAGAGAAGGAATCCCAAGCAGACTCCCGCTGAGCATGGAGCCCGATACAGGGCTCTATCTCACGACCCATGAGATCATATCTGAGCCAAAATCATGAGTCAGACACTCAACTGACTGAGCTACCCAGATGTCCCACTACTTTTTTTAAAAAAAAATTCTTTATTTAAGTAATCTCTACACACAATGTGGGGCTTGAACTCATGACCCCAAGGTCAAGAGTCACACGCTCCACCGACTGAGCCAGCCAGGAGCCACTCACATCATACTTTTTTTTTTCACTTGTCATTTTAAAGTATTTTCCCCCACACTTTTGGAAATTTTCCATAAAACTCATTTATAATAGAAAGCCAGATTTATTTGAAAGCGTGAATACTGACACCAGATAGGAATATTAAGAAGACAAATTTTAAAATTGTAACTCAACAGATGGTCTTATATAACAATATTTTTATGACTTTTAAAATTTTCAAATGAGGAGGATAAGCCTCTGCTAGGAAATAGGAGGGGTAAAAATAATTTGTGGGGTCATGAAAACTCTTCACTCCAAAGCTATTTCAAAACAAAACCCAAAAAACTGAGAGTCATAGTTTGGAAACCTCTACAAAGGTCACGTTTAATGACTGCATGATCGTTTATAGCACTCTCAATAATCACCCTGTGCCATATTCTCACCTTCCTCCCCAGCTCTCTACTTTTCAGCTACTGCAAAGCCCTTGTGTAGAGCTCTGGGGGATCATCTGGCCTTCCCTGTGACACAAATGCACCATTTAGGTATTTCAATTGGAGCCTCCTCACTACTTTAGACACTTAATGTCAATTCCCGTTATTGCTCTTACCAAACTTTTGCATGAAGATCGTCTTTAAAAAATTACGTCCTTAGACTTCCTTAGATTACCATCAACATTTTATTCTATTTAATTAATTAATTAATTAATTTTTAAAAAAGATTTTTATTTATTTGTCAGAGAGGGAAAGAAAGAGAGAGAGAACACAAGCAGGGGGAGGAGCAGAGGGAGAAGCAGGCTCCCGGCTGAGGAAGGAGCCCGATGCGGGACTCAATCCCGGGTCTCTGGGATCATGACCTGAGCTGAAATCAAGAGTTGGACGCTTAACCAACTAAGCCACCCAGGCATCCCTACCATCAACATTTTAAAAGAGCCAATTTTAGGGGCAGCCAGGTGGCTCAGTTGGTTAAGCATCCAACTCCTGATTTCAGCTCAGGTCATGATCTCGGGGGCATGGGATCGAGCCCTGTGTTGGGCTCTGCGCTCAGTGGCAGTCTGCTTGAGATTCTTTCTATCCCTCTCCTTCTGCCTCTCTCCCCCTCCTCTCCCTCTCTTAAAATAAATAAATAAAACAGCCAATTTTAACCCAATACATCCCTATTCTTTCTCCACCTTTAATATTTTCCTCTGCTTGATCTTGAGGCCCAAGTGCCGGCTGCCCATTTTTGTAAGATCATCTTGCTCTGGAGATAATCCTATGTGCTTCCTCCTTTTTCAAATCATTTTTTTTTTCTCTTTTTCAAATCTGGTTCATATTGTTTGCCTTTCTTGAATGTCAGACCACATGATGGACCTTCTGCTTTTAAAGGTAAAGGTTATGATAAAAAAAAAGATTATGATAAAAAAAAGACAATGATCGACATTATTGAACAGGCAAAACTACAAAGTGATTGGTGAATGCCCAAAGGGGGCATCAAGGAACTTGTGGGGTGAAAGGTCAGTCACATCACTGTCTTGATTGTGATGGCGGTGGTTATACAACTGTGTTTTTGGCAAAACTCACGGAACAGTACTTCAAAAAGAGTGCATTTTGCTGCATGTAAATTATACCTCAGTTTAAAGAAATAAACGATCCTTACGCAAATCCAAATTAGGGCATGTTCTATAAAATAACTGGCCTGACTCTTCAAACATGCCAATGCCACAAAAACAAGGAAAGATTGAGAAACTGCTCAGAAGTTAGGGGAAACTAAAGAGACCTAACAACTAAATACCAGGTGTGATCACAGATTAGGTCCTGAGCCTGGAAAAAATTGCTACAAAGGATAGAATTGGGTGCTGTAGATTAGATAATAGTATTGTGTCAATGTTACAGTTCCTGAATTTGATAACTGTACTGTGGCTAGGTCCACATCTCCTTGTTTTTAGGAGATACACACTAAAATATTAAAGGGTGTGATGCAGGCTAATGTGCGCTCAAAGAAAGAATACGTACAAGTATAGAAAGAATAATGAATCCAGTGTGGCAAATGCTAAAAGTCGGAATCTGGGTTAAAAAAATAAATGGGGGTGGGGCGCCTGGGTGGCTCAGTCGGTTAAGCATCTGACTCTTGATTTCCGTTCAGGTCATGATCTCAGGGTCGAGAGATGGAGCCTTGGGTTGAGCTCCAGGCTCATCAGGGAGTCTGCTTGAGATTCTCTCTGCCCCTCCCCTCAACTCTCTCTCCAAAATAAATACATAAATTTTTGGGGAAAAAAAAGGGGAGTCCTTTGAATTATTCTTGCAACTTTTCTGAAGCTCAGTTATTGCAAAATAAAAATAAAGGTAAATGACAATGATATAATGGATCTACACATCACACTAAGCCAATTTACTAAGACCTCCTTCAGGGATCAGGAACGGCTTCTCCAGAGAACAGGAGAAGGAGGGGTAGATGAGCGTTCATGCAGAGACTTGCAAATGTTCTGCACAATCAGAACCCAATCTTGAAGGGGAAGCCAACGCCAGACACAAACCAGAGTAGGGCAGATGTGTCCCCCAGCCCCCCTCGCCCCACGGAGCAGTCTGAACTCCTGTCAGAAGACCCATCCTTTCAGGCACAGTTACAGGGCCTGAGACCCTGCTCCTGGGGGCCGGCTGCTCCCACTCACCGTCCGTGTTCTCCAGCACGGTGCTGTGCTTCACAAAGGCCACATCCCCTGCCGCTTCCGCCAGGCACCTGCGGGGGAGAAACCAGTGAGCCTGGGCGGGGCTGAGCTCCTCTGCCCTCTGGAGGTCTGTTCTGGATTGTAGGGGTCCGTCCTGGTGGGCCCAGATTTCACGGTCGGGCCGTCCCAGAGTCCAGCTCCCTGGTTTGTTTCCTGTGTGGCTTCGCCAAGTTGTGCAGCCCTCCTGGGCTCTGTCACCTGTCCAGTGGGGATGAGAAAGCTCTCATGGCGAGAGGTCCTTTATGGTCAGTCCAAGTCCTGTACAGCCGAGCTGGGGGCCTAAGGGAGCAGGTGCTCACAGGGCAATGCTCAGGGTGTTTTGAGGATGCGTCTGCCCCGAAGCAGGGGATCAGACAAGACTTTCTCATGCTGCACCAAACACCCCTGAGTGGAAGGGACCAGGGCTTCCATGGATCCTTTATAGGTCACTGCCCCGTGAGGGCGGGAGGCCAGGGCCTACTGGGCAAAGGGCTGCCTGGGTCCCCACAGGCAGCAGAGAAGCAAGGCCTGGACTGGGGGAACACCACGAGAGTGGGGTGGGCCAAAGTGTCTGGTTTGGAGGACTGAGGACTGTTTCCTCTCTGTGCCCCAAACTGTATTTACCCGGGTCCCACCCAGCTGTTTTTGCCATTTTCTTCTCTCTAAGCCCTCATCTCTCTAAATACACTAAACATGTTGACTTTGTGAGCAAACCCAGTCTGGCATCCAGTTGGACGTTTTTAAATTAACCTGGTACCTGAACTATATAAAGGGCACTTTGACGAGATGCAGCCAACACGCCACTCCCCTAGGCCCTCTCCGGGCCCTGCAGTTTTCCACCCGCGCTGTGGCCTCAAGGTCCCCCTGACTCCGCTACCCCCACCCCGCCCTCTCACCGGAAGGCCCCGCTGTAGTCGTAGTATCTCTCCAGGGGGCTCTTGTCACACACGCCCTCCCCAGCAGCGTCGCCCCTGCACAGGCGACAGAGGGACTCCGAGTAGCCCGTCTCTCCTGCCCCAGGGACGCAGCTGCCCCCAAAATAGTCGCTGACTGCTGCAGGAAGGAGGAGGGAGAGGGCGGTCAGTCAGCCACATAGCAGTCCCCCAGGCAGGGCTCACCCACCTCAGGCTGCAGTAGGGCCGGCCCCCCCCCCGCCCCCAGGGACGCGCTGGACCCTCCAAGCTTCAGTCTGAGCAAGACGGGGGAACTGGCCCAGGTCAGTGATTCCCAAACTGGGGCTGCAAAAGCAGCCTGGGGTGTTGGGAGTGACGTTGTTATTTTAAAATGGCTCAAGGGAAGAAAACATTTATCCCCAAACGGCCGCATAGGACAACCATCAAATACATACTGTTCTCATCGTGGGTTTCACTTCGAATCAGTTATATGTAATCAATGAAAGTGGGGAAGGAAAGAAATTATGTAACGCCTATAATTTCATAGACAACACTTTTCAAAACACAGGGAGGGCAGAGGAACGGGGAGGAAGGCCTTATTGGTAAAGTGGTCGGGATCGGCATGGTTCTGGGGCCCCTGCAAGCACCGTGGCCCAGCGTCTACCCTGTTGGCAAATATTTATCCTGTGCTAAGGTCACCTTCGTGCCATGTAGGGTGAGCAGGATGCTGGTGCATCAGCCAGCTAGACCAAGCTCTTCCAGAGTGGGCTGCCTTTCCTGGTCTTCTTTTTGCATCCTCTCAGGGGAGTAGAAATTTAATAAATGTGCCAACGAACAGTTAGACCACCCCTATCTGGCCACCATCTGAGACGACCTTGCTTCCAAGCTCCTGTGGGTCATGCTGGTTTACGTGGTAGCTGCGGTTGTAGGGGGCGGTGTGTGAATGTGTATGCGTGCATGTGTGTGCACATAGAGGTTTGTATGTATGTGCGTGCACGTGTCCACACGCAACAGCAAAGTGCCCCGGAGAGGTATGGAAGTTGAGCTCATAACAACAGCCCTGTGCACTGAGGAGAGACCCTGTGTCAGGCACTGTGTGGAGATGTCCTGTGAACTCTCTCCGCCCTTCCAACACCACAGCCTTGTACTCTTCCTCGTCCTATTTTGCAGATGGGGAACTGAAGTTCAACGAGGCAGAGCCGCATACTTGGAGGCAGACATGCTGAGCCAGGGCTGAAACGTACAGCCCTCTGACAGTGAAGACCAGGCTTTCAAAGACCATTGTGCTCTCCCGCAGGCTCTCCCACCGGCCCCCAGCCCCAGAAATACCAGTCTCCTGGGGGACAAACCGGGAGGCGGCACACTCACTGACAAACTGTTGGGGCTGTGTGTGTGATCCCTAGAGGGCAGTTTACGAATGTGGCTGTTGTAGGTCAGGGGCCACATCACGGTGGACAAACTGTCAGAGCGGGGTGGCCAGGAAGAGAAGCCCAAAGCATGAGAAGCAGGACTTGTGCCCTGGTCACCAGAATGAGGGCTGGGGGCTCCAGCCAGGCGCGCAGGGCTTCACCTCACTCTCCCGGCGTGTTTTATTCTCAACAACCCCTCTCGGATCACTCTCAACTCCCTTCCACGGGAGAACATTCTATTTGCAGCACAGCCCTCTTTTCACTATAAATCAATCAACTGGGGAGCCGTAGGTCTCCACCCACTTGTGAGCTTTCTGGGTGCAAGCCAGCAGCTTGTTCGGGGTCCTGAAAAAATAGTTTCTCAGTCATCCAGCTGAGGACACGTTTCTGGAAACAGGGACCTGCACAGGTCTACAGCAGGTGAGAGCCGCTCCCTGGGCATCACCGCCTCCCAACCGTGGGTGGGCCTTGTGCTTGGCTATGTCCTGGGGGACCGGGAGAAGCGAGTGAGGGTCATGTGTCAAATGCCCCAGAAGGGCCGCTCCACCAGAACTTAAATGGTAGCAGCACCAGGCCGGCCAGCACTAACGAGGAAGGGGTGATACCACCATCCAGGGGTCGGGGAGGGCCTGGAGGAGGCGCGATGGTGCTGCTTTTTAATTATAGGAGGCTCAAGGTGAGCCCGAGGGAGGTTACCCGTCAGGGGAAGTCAGGGCAGTGGCAAGGAAGGAGGCCCAGCGCCCCTGCCGGAGAAGCCCCTGCCGGGCCCGAAGCCCTTACCCTTGAGCACGTCGCAGCCCATCACGGACAGACGGCCGCTCTCCACCAGGTAGCCCACTGGTACATTCCAGCCCACCGTCCTGTTGATGCCTGTGTGACAGGACTTCACCCCTTTCAGGGTGTTGATGGTCACGTGGGAGCCCCTCTTGACCACGGCGACAGCGTAATAGGAGGTACCGACCTCTAGGAGGAGCGACAGGAGAGGAGTGAGGGTGGCAGGGGAGAGAAGCCATGACAGAGGCCAGAACCCTGGGAAGGCTGTGGGAGACGGGGAGGTATGTGTGCACAGGCACCTGGGCACGCAGGCACACGTATACATGTGTGCACGGATGTACACATGCATGTGTGCATGGGCTTCCTAGTTGCCGAGAGCAAGTGGGTACAACGCACACGTCTTAGCAGGAGACTCCGGCCTCCTCCAGTCTCACATAGTAGGTAGCATCCCGAGAGGCTCATTTCTCCCTTCTCCTTCCCACGTCAGCTGACACTTAGCTGAGTCTACATTTGTGCATGTCAGGGGGGCTCTGTAGCTACACTGAAAGCAGAAATAGCCTGCAAGCCTTGGATTCTCCAAAATCCAGGCCCTCTGGGGGAGCGTAGAGGGATTGAGGGGATGGTCTCGTGGTTACGGGGAGAAGGGTGGTGGCGGAGCGGGTGCAGCAGGCAGGAGCTTCACCCAGATTAGGTGCTGAGAAGGTGGGATGGAGGGGGGGAGGGGGGAGAGAGGGAGGGGGGGGAGAGAGAGAGAATATATGAAACTAGCAATGTCCCAAATCACTCAAAAACGTGAATGGGATGTATGTGGGTGGGCAGCCTTGCAAAAGATTCCTCTGGGCCAAATGTGGCCCACGGGGGCCCTTGAGAAGACAGGGATGACTCATCTATGGGGGACAGATGACGAGAGGGCATCACAACCCCCTACCCACCCCCACATTCACCCCCTCACCCCCGACTGCCCTGTGGTGGTGGGATGCCCACGGTCAGAATGACGGTGAGTTCTAGAAAACAAAGCCAGTGTCATTTCTTGCACAGCTGAGCTAGCCCCTGGCAACCTAAGCAGCCAGGCCTGGTCCTACCCTCTGATTTACCCACCGTGCCCTTTCTTTCTGGCTCCTTAAACATACCAAATTCTGTCCCACCTGGGATGCTTGTCAGGGTTCAGCTTAAAGGTCACCTCAGAGAAGCTTCCAGTCTGCTCTATTTCTAGGTCCCCCACGTTCCTTCTTTTCTTCCTGCGGCCTTTCCTTCCTCCACGGCACCTACCACATTGGTAGCTACAGTTCTTCGTGTTTATTTGTTCACTATCTGACTCCTGCTCTCCGAGGGCAGAAACTGGCTCTCTTTTGCTTATGACTCTGTGCTCATGACCGGCATGCAGCAGGTGCTCAATCAGTGTGCTGAATTCAAGAGGGCCAGTGAGGCGGGGCAGTTTCTGGCCTTGGCGTGAGAAGGCCGGCTGGGTTGCAGGGTTAGGCTCTGTCCTGCGTCATCGGACGGTCATCAGTTCACCAAGAAGCCAAGTGAGGCCCTGTGCTGGGTACCAGGTCCCTGGGGCTTTACAGGGATGAGGACCAGGCCCCCCTCAAGGGACTCACTGTGGTGACAGACGACAGGACAGAAGAGGACAGGATCTTAATAGCGTGAGTCAGAGCTCCAGGAAAGCAGGAGAGAGAAGCCCTTTCAGGGGCGGGAGGGGCCAGGGGAGCTCTTGGGGGTGACAGCTGAGCTGGGCTGTGACAGGGGCTAGCCCTCTGGACAAGTAGAGGTGGTGGGGGAGCTCCAAAGGGCCGGCTGGGTTAGAGGCATGTCTGGTGTGAGGTGCAGGGACTGGGGCAAAGGGACTCACATTTTTGCTGACTCATCTAATCTGTGTGACAGGACGGGGCTCACTCTCCCCATTTTACAGTCAGGGAAGGAAGGTTGTTCAAGGTCACAGAGGATCACAGGAAGGGGTAGAACTGGGATGTGTTCTGGCTTTGTTGGGCTCTGCAGGTCCTAGTCAGCCCCTCTGGCCCGGTCCTATTCCTCCTCCATGCTGCTTCGGACAGAGGGCCGCTGACCTTATGCCCAACTCTATGGCAGACATGGGGCAGCCCCTCAGTAAGAGCTGGTGGGCAAGTTACAGGGGTGATGGGCTCCCCACAAGGAAGAACAGACTCCGGTCAGCCCTCTGTGTTTCTGGCACCCCTGCTCTGAGGGGGCTGTCAAGGGAGACTCAGGCGTGGGCATCTCTGTAGGTTTGTCTGGCCTGGACCCCAGGACTGTTCTGGGGACAGGGCTCCTGACCAACTTGAGGGCTGTAGGGTTGGGCCAGGCCCAGCGAGGACACACCGCAGAGTGACATCCTCTTGTTCTCCCGCCCTCCAACCCACTCAGCCCTCTGACCTTGATCATATACTTCGCCCACCACGGGCTTCAGGCCGTGCTCCTTCCCCGCCTCATAAATGGCTCCTCCATCCAGGGTGATGGCATCAGCCTCCCGGGCCTGCTGGGAACATGTGGGTCAGCGCAGCCCAGCCACCTCGGCCCATTCAGCCAGGAGCTCAGGGGCATCCATTAGCCTGCCTAGGGCCCCTTGAAAAGCCACAGAGGTCCATACTGGTCCTCTTTGTCTGGCCGTGGAACCCTGCCCTGGCTCGGCCTTGCACCACCAGGGCCTAGAGGGCTTACCCTTTACCAGGTCCTAGGTGACCGCTCTCCTACGCCAAGGGCTTGCCTTGTTTTTCTAATTATGTTATTTAAAAATGATTTTCTAGGGCTTCTAACGGCTTTCCATAGTAAAAAAAAAAAAAAAAAAAAAAAAATCAGACCGTACAAAAAGGGACGTGGTAAAAAGGGAATCTCCCTCATTTCCCTATTTCTCAGCGCCCTGACTCCACTGTTAACCTGTTTCTCAGGTTTCCTAGGAGGCAGACTGAGTCCCATAAATGCCCTCTTCATTTTTTCCCTTTTTATTTTCAAACACAAATGGCCTATGGTGCCAATTTTATTTTCGAACACAGTGTCCTGAGGTGCATGATAAAATTCTAGTTCAATATAATTGCTTTCCTCGCCGTGGAGCCTGACCTAAGCCCGCAGCCCATGTGGGACTTGGCTTAGGTCTGGGCAGAAATCAAGGGCCGAGCTGAGATGCAAACCCAGGTCCCCTGGTGCTTCCGTCCACACACTGTCTTGCCACTGAAGTCCTAGCTCTGAGGAGCATCAGGGCGAGTTGAGCAGTCCTGCAGCCCGCAGTTGCCCACCCAGGCCGGCCCGCCCCTTTTCCTCCTTCCTGAGAAACTGCACAAGCCCCATTCTGGAAAACCCGCCACAGAGGGCTCTACTGTCCAGGCTCCCTTGGGCGGGGTGGAGCGTGTCCCTACTCTAGCAGGGGCCTTGGAGAAGGAAACTCTGCTTCTTCGACACCTTTCCCCACTGGGGCCCATCTGAGCTGGGGCCCTCCCTGCGGCCTCCCTGGCCTGGGCCCTGGCAGGAAGCAAGCTGGCCCCTGTTGCCTGGGAAACTCAGGAGAGCCTCGGCCTGGCCCTGGCGGAGAAAGTCAGCGCCTTTCTCTGTGAATGACACTGTTGTGCAGCCCCTCCTGAGTCAGAGCCCTCCTGTCTGGCAGGCGGCAGTGGCAGAGTGAGGGCGGCTGGGGGGGTGGCGCTCACCGCGATGAGCTGGATGCAGTGGTCAGTGGAGGTGCCCTGGATACACAGGACGGACGGCTGGATACCGGCTTCCTGGAAGGCTCTGCTCATGTCACTGCATTTCTGCTGCTCCGGGTCTGAGGTGGTGCACCACCGCACCTCCATCCTGCTGAGCGCTGGGGGCGGGGACAGTGAGGCCCAGCACCCCTAGCCTCCCAGCCCCCGCCCCCCCCCAGGGTTGTGTGACCCCAACAACATGCACAGTCAGTCCTGTGCCACAGCCCTGCCCGCCCACTGGGAGGGACTGAGGCGAAGAGAGGGGTCACAGACCGGAAAGGGGCTGGGCTCACTGGCAAAGCTGTGTGTGGGGCCATGCATATCCCCGTACTTGGGGCAGATGGGGCAGCTCAGAGCCTGGCACTTTACAGAGGCCAAGGTTGCAGGGGGCGTCTCCTAGGGTAGCGCTCAGCTAGCCCCAACCTTGCTCACTGGCCTGGAGAGCAGCCTGCCGGGTGGACAGAGCGCTGGCTGGGGAGTCCGTCTGGGTCTGGGACGAGGCCTGTTCCTGCCCCTGTTTGGGCCTCTGTGTCCTCCAGCCAGAGGGTGCTAGGTTCTCTCACTCAGGGCCCCGGAGCCCTCCTCATGAACTGGGAAGTGGTCGTGGCTGCCCTTGAGGAGTCTTGCACCCCCTTGGAGCGTCTGGGATTACGCTCACTGCAAACCCACCCTCAGGGTCACCCACCCTTGCCAAGGGGAAGCTGAGGAATCAGCAGGTTGAGTTCAAGTTTCTGCTCCTGGAGAAGGAGCTGGTGACTTCAGGCAACTTATTTGACCTCTCTGAGCTTGCTTTGTCATCTGAGAGCACAGATGAGAAAATCCACCTTCTGTGAAGTAAACCTATGTAAAGAGCCAGGATGCACGGGGCCTCGGTGGCCTTTTGCTTAGGCACCTCCTCCTGGTGGGGACCCTCCTGGGTCCCAGCACCTGACCAGGTCAGAGTCCTGGAGAGCTCCCAGCCTGGGGGCCCAGCAGAAGTGGTGCCAGATTTCCTTGTGGTTGATGCCTTTGCAGACCCGAAGTTCCTCCATCCCCCACTCCCATGGCCCAGCTTTGGGTCCAGTTCCCAGTCCCCAGCGACCAGGTCATCCTCTTGTGGCAGCCTGTCCTTCCCATCCCCATGCCAAGGGTCAAGACTGCAGGTTCCTCCACAGCCTTCCTTTTGCCACCCAGCTCAGGGCTGCACCCTGGAATATGAAACTATTGCCCCCTCTCCAGAGCCCCAGGCCTGCACCTTGGTAGGCCCAGCAAGTGCAGAGCTGGGGCCGGGGTGGCGGGTCCAGTGTATTAGTGAGGTCAGAGCGGCGAGGCCACCCTTGTCTGCGGGACCTTGCCCGCAGCTCCCCTAGGCCCCGCCTCACCCCTCAGTGCGCTGGGACCCGGCTCCCTTGGGAGCGGCGGTGAAGACACGGGGAGACAGGGCAGCACCCCTTCCTCTTCCTTTGCAGGGCGCCCTGGGGCTGGCTCCCGGTCGCATCTCCTCGGGAGAAGCAGAGGCGCTCTGGCTCCCAAACCCTCCTGGAGCTTCCGCGCCTATCAAGAGGGTTCACCCTCCCAGCTCTCTTCCTGCCCCTCTAAGGCTGTCCCCTCCACGCCTCCGACTGTTCCTCTCCTTGGCCGGTCAGAAGGCCGGCTTTTCCAAGGCCCAGCTCAATGCCGTTTCCTCCAAGAAGCCCTCCAGACGTCCCAGTCAGCTGGGGTCAGTGTTCCCTCCGTCGCATTCAGCCGCGCCTGGCGCCTTTCCAGGCCTCCCCCCTTTCCGGGGAGATACGGATTCAGGACACACTTCCCAGCAGCCTGGGACCCTGGTCGGGGGCTAAGACAACTGCAGGCCGCCCGCCCCACGTCCTGCTCCCGGGGCCGGGCGGCCGGGCCTCACCTGTGCGCAGAGCGAGGAAGAGCCACAGAGCCACGCTCGGGCCCCGCATGGCGCGGTCTAGAGCTAGCGGGGGCCGGGCTGGGTCCGCCTGGGTCAGCAGCAGCCAGAGCCTCCCCCTTCCTTCCTCCCCGGCCCTGGCCTGCAGCTCCTTAAGTGCGCCCGGGGCGTGCCTCGGCGGCGTCCACGCCCCTGAGGCCCAGCCGCCCAGCCCGGGCCCGACACCTGGGCTGACCGCGAAGGTCTTGGCCCTCTCTCTGGCGCCCCCTTGTGGAACCTCGGCCGCCGCCGGCTCTCAGGGTCCCAGGTGCTCCTAGCCTCTGGGCACACCCACCTGTCTGTCCCTGAATGTCAGGTACCTGTTGTCTGGGGTCTGATTACCCCAGCTCACAGGCTGTTCTAGGGCTCTCTCCCCTCAATTATCGGCCCTCCCCTTGTTCTAGAAAGATCCTAAATATGTGCTGTTGAAGAGGGAAAAGCTCAGATTCGGAAGGAAGAAGTCAGAATCCTGGAGTCTGAACTGCAAGGAGGCTGAAAGGCCCGCAAATTCATTCATCAGCCTCTCTGCAAATACATCAGCACAAAGTAGTTGTAGTCCCGGCTGCGGAGGGGCTGGGAGGGTGGGAGTGGGGGTGCGTCTCCTTGGGCCTACGCTGGGGAAGTGACTTCACCCTATGTTCACACATTTAGTCAGTGACGGAGCTGGAACTAGAACTGGGACCCCTGGCAGCTTGGCTCATTCCATCATGTTTTGAAAGATGGGAAGAAAACCAAAAAGGGGGAGGAGGAAGAAGCAGAAAAGGACAGAGAGGGACATGAAAGGAGAGAGAGAATGAAGAACGTGAGGGAGAAAAGGCTGGGTTGTCTATTTTTCTAGGCCTTGGGATCTCCGAGTGTGTCCCCGGACCTCACAGCATGGGCACCCCCGGGAATGTGTTAGATATGCACATTCTCAGGCCCACCTCTGACCTGCTAAATCAAAGCTCTGGGGGTAGGGCCAGCAATGTATGCTTCTGCTTCTGGTGCACAGCGCAGTCTGGGAAGCACCCGTCTAGGCAGACCAGAAGCGCAGCTTGTGTGCTGGGGGTGTCGGGAGTGGACTGCTGAAATTCTGACTTCTCTGCTTCCCTTTGTGCCCTTATTTTTTGTCCTTGCCCTCTCATGAGTACCCGGGAATGAGAGCCTCCCTGTCTTGGGTAGAGGACGCATGTAATAAAAACACTGAGTGCGAGAAAAGGTGTCCCTGCGTCTGAATCTGTCAGTACTCGAGCCCGCTCTGCTCTGTGGGGAAGGGAGCCCCGGCTCCTCGGAACAGGCCAGGACGCTGCTGCTTATCACACCCTGAGATGATCCGTGGCAATTCCACGGGCTGGACTTCAGGAGACCCGAGCTTTATTCTTTCATTATCACCGGCCCACTGTGTGGCCTTGGGCAGGTTCATTCTCCTTTCTCTGGGTTTCAGTTTATCCATATGTAAAAGGTAGGTCACGATGGCTCTGAAGTCTGCTCTGCAGAATCAAGAAGGGGACATGTGTGGAAGCTGTTTTTCCGTTCTGAGCTGGATCCGTCAGGAGAGGGCACCTCTTTCTGATTCACACAGACTAGCAGGTGGCCCTGGCAGAGGGGCTATGGCCTGTCCTAAGAGGATGAAATAAATAGAAGCATGCTTAGTAAGTCTCACCCTCCTGACCATGAGGATGAAAAGGCTCATTTTGTCATACTCCAGGAGCAACCAGAAGGTACTGGCAAGATTTGTGTTCATGAAGTTATTTCTCTAGCAAAACTCCACACTGATAAGGTGTCAGCTACAACCTAAAAGCTTGGGTGAGCAATTTCGCAATTGAGGTCCTTTCCCTATCTCTGGGGAGTCATTCCCCTACCGCGACTCATCGGTGAACTTGCTGTCTCTGGGCTCCAGAGGCTTCTATGTCTGACTCATTTGCTTGGCCTTAACATGGACATAGCTTTGGCCATAGCCATTACATACACAGGTATCTATATGTAATGGGGAAATCTTGATTTGGCTTGAGCCTGGATCCTGCCATTTCTGAGGCATGGACATCCCTGGGTGTATCAGAGGCAATGAGAGAATAATGACCAGTAATTTAACCTAGAAACAGTCGTATAGAGGAGCAGAAGCACTGAGGATAGTTTGTTCCCTATTCTGGACTCATACTGAGGAGAGGAAGAGTGCCTTTGAGCTTCGTTCTAGAAACAAGAACTAATTTCACTAAGACTTCTATACGTTGGTACCTAAACAACACTGTTCTGGGACCATTCCCTCCCACCCTCCGACTCTATTCCATTATATGAAATACAAAGAGCTCTTCTCCACTCTGCCAAAGACACAGCTTTGGCTCCCCAGGATTCAGGGTGCCCCCCCACAACATGGGGCTTGCTTGCCAGGGAACTGAGGAACAGTAGCAGATGCTATGGGATGGAACACATTAAAGATAGTCTCTGGGGACTCAGAAAGAAGAGGGGGCCTTTGATGCAGGGGGTGGAGAACCTGTGTTGACAGCTGTGGGCTAATGAGCCAGCAAAATATGGATGCACAATTCTTTTAGCCAAAATCTTAGAAAATTCATATTTTTTCATCTCAACAAACCGTGGTTTATATTTTTCTATTTTTATGAGCTGTGATGTCTTTGACTACTTAAGAACAAGCCCAAATAATTTTTATTTGGGGAACACTTGGAAGGACTGGTGTGCACAGAGAATATCAGCGGTGGTGAACATTTGCAATAGTACATGTGTTCTCAAAGGGTATTACATTCTTACTCCTGACATCATCCACCATGTACTTGCTGCCTGGTTAATACATATGAATTTGTTGCTTGAGATCAATGGTAGATACACTGAGCAAGTTTTGTGAATACAAGTTTTTGCCTCTTTAAAAGTGTTTTCCTGTGAAGCTTCACTTAGGGGGGCCCTGTTCACTTGAGCTACACGATGCTCTGTGTGTAAGCTTTTCAAAGGCAGATTCTCTGTTGTTTCTTCTTTGTACTCCTCACAGGGCCTTGAGCACGGAGGATGATTTCTATTAAGTTTTAGGATGTTATTACTGTTCAAGGGTCTCATGCTGCTGAGGGGGAAGGACTGAGAAGAGCCACAGAATTTGGGGAGTAGGAGGTCCACAGACAGCTTTGTCCGAGCAGTTTCGGTGGCACAACAAGCGCTGAGGCTTGGCCAGGAGGCTGAGCTTCATGAGGGCAGGGTGGTGGCTTATCTGTCATCATTCCCAATGTCTAGCTTCGTCGTCTAAAATGCAGTAGGCACTCAAAAAATTATTATTATAAATGAGTGGAAAGTAGAGTGTCTTTTTAAAGATATCTGGCTTAAGAAATACAGAGGTGAGAGGTTGCTTCAAAGGGATCAGGAGTCAATGGAAAATTTTTATAGGATAGGAGAGATTTGATCATATAATCAGAGCACGAGTAGCCCATGCAGGAAGGAGACTAAAGATACAGGAAAAGGGGGGGTGCTAATTGAAGAGGATGTAAGAAATAAGATCAGGAGGACAAGCAGAGAGGGTAATCTTAAAGGACAATGCTTCCTCCTTGGAGATGGGAAAGAAGAGGGGGTGGAAAAAGCTCTGAGTCAAACTTGCATTCAAATATAAGTCCAGCATTCCAGAGCTTGGTTTATTATTTTAATATCAAACCAAGAGATATTTTTTTCTCCTGAAAACTTTCCTTGCAACATAGAGGAGGATTAGAAGGCTCCGAGATTAGCTCTGGAGATAGAGTTTTAAAGCCATTAATAAATCTCCATCTGTTTCACTTAGTGTAAGATTTAATGAGTGGAAACCAGTATAAAAGGAGCTAAAGAATAAAGCAATAAAGAGTACTATATTTGGTTCTGTCACTAAGAATTACAGAGAAATTATTCCTACCCCAACTACTCCCAAGGAGGGTTTCAGATGACTTATCATGAAAACGTATTCACAAGGAAGGTAAAATTGACACAAAGAGAAAAATCACAAAGCATGTTCAGGAAGGAAGAATACTATACCAGGGACCAGAAAGGAGAGGACTATAATTAAATAAAAAATTTGGTTGATTTAGAGATCTGTAGTCAGACTGTTTTATCTACTCCCATCCACTCTTCCCTCCCAACTGTACCGATTTGCAAATGAAGTGGCCGCTAACACTTTACACACTGATGTTTTCGGGTCATGAAAAGCCAAGGCAGTGAAGACTGTTGCTGTACAAGAGGCCCACAGGCTGTGCTCTCTGATCGCCTGCCATGGGTACCTTACTGGGGCAGACAAACACAAGGAGGCCACCCGATCTGAGACAAACCAAACACCGAAAGAGGTAAAAGCAGTACAGGGACAACATGCTCAGTGTTAAGTGGATACCCAGTATATACCACCGGCGTTCAGGCTCCATGGGCTGTAACTAGGGAGTCTTCTGCAGGAGGAGGGATTTAGGGTGGGCCTTGAAGAAAGGTAGGGCTTTGCATGACCAACAGCCACAGACAAGAACTGCTGAGGTATGGCTGGCGAGGTAGGTGGCAGGAGATGACTGATGACCTCATACTATGTTCCAGAACTATACTAGACAGGGTAAGTTGATTGGTTTGGATTTAGGATCCATGAAGGTCACTGAAGAGAAACACAATCCAAGTTGCATTTTAGGAAAAGTCATCTGGTGATGGCTGGGTCAGCAAAGGGGCAAATTAGAGGCTGAGAGATGAATTAAGAGGCCACCTCAGTAATCAAGGCTTGGGGTTGAGGGCGGGTTAAGGATTAGAGTGATGACAGTGGAAATAATAGCAAGAAAAATATGACATTAAGGAATAACCAACAGTATTTGGTGACTGAATATTTGGGGAAGAGAGATGTCAAGACGCATTAAGGTTAAAATGTGGGTGATGGAGAGAATATTCTATTAAGGACAACCATTATTAACTACTGGTAGAAAAATAGTTAAAAGGTTAGTAAAGTTTTATCCTAGTAAGAGTAAGTAAGGAACGTCAGATAAACTAGATCCAAAGCAAGCACTGAACTTTCAGAGAGAAAGGGATCTATTATTATTATTTTTTAAAGATTTTATTTATTTGACAGAGAGAGAGAGAGACAGCGAGAGCATGAACAC